CAGGTGGGCGGCCGCGGCGGGGACGCGGCGGAGCGGGACACGGGTCCCTGAGACTCCGGCTGTCACGCCCGCAGCCCCGCGGCGCCGGCACTCGGAGGCGCTTCCGCGTCCCAGGAGGAGCCGATCTTTTTCCTTCGGTCTCCGCCTCTTTGGCGGCAGGCGCACCTCGGTCGGGAGGACAGGTAACTTCCCTCCAAGGTCATTCTCCGGGCGGGGCGGCCTGGAGGTTTGCCAGCCGCCCAAGAGGTTGGCGGGGGCGGAGCGCGCGCGGCGCGGGGCTCTGGCGAGCCGGGCTGGACGGCGACCTCGGGGCTGCCCGGGAGCCTGCTGGCGTTATCCCGACCCGTTGGGTGGCCCCAGTTGCGGGGCACATCTGCCGGTGCTAGCGAGTATTCCTTGCTGCTCCCGGGCCCCGGAGGGTGCGTTTCCCCGGCACTTCGCCTTGGGGCGGGGACAGCTGGGTGCGCCTGAGCCGCGCCCGCGCTGGCGCCCGCAGGTGAACCCACCGCCCGCGCCCCTGCTGTCCTGGGCCGCGTGGTCGGCCGTCGCCATGGGAACGCCTGGTGCCCAGACGAAGCCTGGTCTGCGTGGGAACGGGAGGTGACGGGCATGGAGCCCCCTGTCTGATGATGCGAACCTACAAAAGCCTTACGAAAAGGAGACCCCCTCCCCCTCTTCTCATTTTTGGTTCTTCAGGCGTTGGCGTTAATCAGAGGAGTGGATGTGTTTACAAGATGTGAGTTGTATTCGTTCCACCTTTACCTTCTGAGGGCTTCTTGCACCTCATGGTGACAGGTGCGAAATCGAAGGCCAACATGAAGCCCGTGAAGAAAAAGAAAATCGAAGAACCTGAATTGGAGCCCCTGTGCTGCTGCGAGTACATAGATCGAAATGGGGAGAAGAACCACGTGGCTGCTTGTTTGTGTGATTGTCAGGATCTCGATGAAGGCTGTGATAGGTAAGAACAGAGACATTCCCAGTGCGGACCCAAGAGGTTTTGGAGAACCACTATGTGTATTTTCAGCCTTGCCATCCAGTGTTAGAGTTTGCTCTTGATTCAGTTGAACTAAGGATTTAAAATTAAGAGTTTTGTATTGGCAGTTGTGAGGATTTTATAAAAAGAAAAATGCTGTAGTGCACAGTTGTTCAGCTGTTTTCTGGAACGTTACCGTTTTTCGTTTAGAGAGAGATGATGAAGGAGTGAATAGACAGATGAAGGGGTAGTAGTGGCACGTTGAATGTATAGAGGACGAGCCAGCAGAATCTGTAAGTTTAAAACAGATATGTTCGAGAAAGTTCTTACATTCCTAGTAGTCTTTCATTAGACACTTCTTGCATGAGATTGGTCACACCAGGTCCCAAAGATCATTTTCCTGCTGCTGCTGCTGCCACCGCCAGCAGACATGTATCTATCTCCCCTTCATTGACTATTTTCAGAGGGAGCAAAAATACTTTTTTAATCAGATCATATTGGGCTTCTGTAGTCATTATCTTAGTGGTAGAAGTTATCCAGAAAGATATTTAATATTACTGAAAAAGTTCTGAATGAAACAGTAATAAACCGGTAATATAAATAAATATATATTTAAAAATTGTTCTGTAGAAAGCTTACTGTAGGAAAAATAGGGATGTTGGGAACTTGGTTTTTCCATGAATTACCTCCTGACACCTGGATACAGTGGTATGTGGCTTTAATCCCCGCTATTGAGGAGGCTGAGACAGGAGGACAGCAAGTTTGAGACCTGATTGGGTAATTTAATGAGACCTTGTCTCAAAAAATGGATGGGGTGAGGATGTAGTTTAGTAGTAGAGCTCCTGTGGCCAGGTTCATTCCCCGGTACTGTCAGGAAAGTCACTACACCTACAAATTGTTGATTTAGAATTTGATGCATTAATCTAGTCATGAGAAACATTCCCTGGGGACCACTGCAATCTTGTACCTACAAGACTCCTACAAACTGTTCATAACTCCTTTGTAATTCTTCCTTGACTATGTTTATAGTTTTCTTTTTTAACAAAAGGTATCCTTTTTTTACCCCCTTTTTGTTACAGTGTCTTAGTATGTACCTCAGACTGGCCTTGAATTCTGCATAGGCCAGGCTGAACTCCAACCCAGGCTGATCCTCTTGTCTCTGCCTCCCAAGTGCTGGGATTATAAGTGTAGGCATGCACCACCATGACCTTCTGGTATCTTTAAATGCAGGTCTTTTTTTTTTTTCCAGTCTTAGTCTAAAATTGTTACCGAGGAAATGGAGCACTTTATACTAATGCTGGAGAAATGATGCTCTCCATAACTGCAGTGTCAATACCACAGCTTTTCCATTAGCTTTGCTACCTTTTCCTCCCTCCCAGCCCTTGAAAGTGGGCTGGCCCATGATTCTCTCCTCTGCCATCTCCATACTCTGTTCCTCTGGAGAGGGCCTTCCAGTATCCCACTGTCACTGCTGTGCTGCATGATGCCTGTGTCGTTATCTCCCAGTCACTCCCAAATTCTAATCCTTCTGCTTTTAAAAGAAGATACCCCCTCCCCCAAAGAAAGAAGATTCCCATTCCAGAAGTGAAGGGAAATAATTCTTGACTGGATGTTCCACTTTCCAGACTCTGAGACGGTGCTGGGCTTTTCCTCTTCCACAGCCCACACTGCAGCTCTACTGGGCTGGAGTTAGACTCCTATCACTCTCCCTGGCTAATGTTGCATATCTGCTATCCCAGGGTGAGTGTCACCCCTCAGGGACTTGCCCTACAGCTCTACCAGGCCTTGTGTCAGCAGGGTCTCTGTTGACCAGTGTTCCCACAGTTCCCTTTGTGGGTCCATTCGGCATACATACCCTAGTGCCACTCTCCGTGGTAGCTCTGCCCCAGTGGCAGTTCTGTCTCAGCTTTGAAACTCTCTGGGGCATCCTTTGGAATCTAGACAGAGGTAGGCATTTCTCCACTGCTCTTATACCCCGTGTTCCTGCAGAATTAGCACTCTATGAATGTCACAGATAGTTTCTGCCAGTGCCTTTTGGAAGAGTGATCCTTGACATCTTGTAGTTGGACAGGCTGGAAACTTTTCAAATCTTTAGTTTCTCCTTCCCTTTAGATAATAAATTGTCTGTGTTCTCAGATTTTACTACAGTCTCCAACAGAATCCATCAGCACCTTGCACACTTTGTTCAGGATTTCTTCTACCATATACCCATGTTCTGCAAGACACTACAACATGAACACAACTCCGCCAAAATCTGTGCACCTTTCCACCCAGGATACCCATTCCTCCAGGCTCCAGCCATGCTGCTTTATGCTGAGGCCTAATCAGAATGGCTTCTGCAATCCATATTTCTACTGTGGTATGAATAGCAAAATCATCTAGTGATAGCAAAACTTTTAGAGCTTTCAGTGATGATAAACAGCTCACTGTAGCACACATGCCACAGGTTCACCGCCACAGGCTCTCCACCACTGTCTTAGGCAGTACCTGAGGGCTTTCTTTACAGCTCCTCCATGAGCGGTCACCAGATTTGCCCTTTATAGTCTCTTCACAGCAGTGAAGGCTATTTCTAGCTTGCACTTCAGAGCTTTTCCATCCTCTGCCCCTTCTTCCAAAGCTACTTCCATGTGTCCAGGTTTTTGTTATAGCTGCTTCCCAACTTGTTAGTACTAGTGTCTGCCTTAGTCTTCAGTTGCTATAATAAAAGACTTGAGATTGGGGAATTTATAAGTGAAAGACATTTATTGTTGTTGTAGGAGCCCGGGAAATCTGAGGTTGAGGTTCTAGCATGTACAGTGGATGGTGAAGGCCCCTCTCTGCTCGGTAGATGGAGCCCTTTCTGTGCCCTCACTTGGTGGGATGCGTGAGCGAGCTCCTATGGCCTCTTATCGGGTGCTAACCCCATTCACAAGGGCTCTGCTCTCGTGCACAACCTGAGCACCTCTGAATGGCCTCATCTGTTTTCCTCCACCTTTCTTCCTTTCTCATCCTCCTGTTTCTTGGTGGCAGCGTCTCACTGTGTTGCATTTTGGGTGACAAGGTTTCTCCGTGTTGCCAAGGCTCAATCTGAAGCATTTTCCTGTCTCGGCCCACTGAGTAGCTGGGACTACTGGCCCTGGCAGCACCATCCTTCAGTACTGATGTATGGGGATTGGGTTTTAACATACACATTTTGGGAGCAACATAGCCGTTCAGTCTGTAGCATAGCCGCCGTGTGCAAAAGAGTCAGCAGATGCGATTCTTTTCACCAGTTACTAGACTGACTAGTTTTTCCCTCCAGCATTCCTTATGCAGCGCCATGTCACTACACTGGTTTACCTCCTGGGCCCCCAGACAGGTTTTGTCCCATTTCCCTTCACTGTAGTGCCTCTCGCTACTCATACATGACCAGCAGTCATGGTCTAGCGCATCACATCTTTTTCACTAAGATCCTTCTGATGATTCCGTATAGAAATGTTCATCCTCAGAGTACTCACTGTTTGATCAAAAAATTCAGTGAATGATTTTTGCTCCTTCATACTTGATTCAGCATTTTTAAAATTCTCATGTTGTCTGCACAACTACAAAGTACACTGAATTTTTTTTTAAGTTCTTTGACTATGTATTTACATAGGTCTAAATGTTGTGTATGGGGAATATATATATATTTTTTTTTTCCTAAATATTATTTTTGTTCTCATTAAAAAATGATACCTGAATCCAAGAAGCTCATGTTTAGTAGTAAGGAGATAAAATGCTTAGCCTTTGGTCTGTTTTATTATTTATCCCTGTGTTTAGCATTCAGTGTTGTGCAGTTTTTAATTCAGTAAACCTATATGAAGTGCCTTCTCTTTTTTTTTTTTTGCTCTTTCTGAATAGATGGTTTACGTGTAAATCAGTACAGCCAGAGACTTGTGAAAGAATCATGGATACAATTTCTGATCGCCTCCGAATTCCTTGGCTTAGGGGAGCCAAAAAAATTAACATTAGCATCATCCCGCCACTCCTACTGCTGCCTGGCTTCCTGCATGTGGCGTCCTGGCATTTCCTCTTGGGGGTAGTGGTGTTGACCTCCCTTCCTGTGCTGGCACTGTGGTACTACTACCTCACTCACAGAAGGAAAGAACAGACTTTGTTTTTCCTGAGCCTTGGACTGTTCTCCCTGGGCTACATGTACTATGTGTTCCTGCGGGAAGTGGTCCCCAGAGGGCGCGTGGGGCCTTCACGGCTGACCGTTCTCACCTGCGGGTTATTTCTAATACTCTTCGCCTTGTACAGAGCCAAGAAGAATCCCGGCTACCTCAGCAGTCCAGCCAACGAGGCCACACCCCTGAGCAACAGCCAGATTGAATGCCTGAGCAGAGAAGGCCAGGAAAAGACCAAAGGGTTCCTCGCAGCAGATCCTTCGGGCAGTGTCAGCAGCCGTGCAGTGAAGGGTGACCTGAAGAGCTCCTCCAGGGTGCTGGCTGGGAGCCCCACCAAGGTCAAGGAGGACTGGTGCGCCAAGTGCCAGCTGGTGCGCCCAGCCCGGGCATGGCATTGCCGGATCTGTGGCATCTGTGTGAGGAGAATGGATCATCACTGTGTCTGGTATGTTGGGAAAATCTGGAGGCCTGGAAGGTGTAAATTCACGTACAACTCTAGCCATATTTGATCTGTATTTGTGCTGTCTTAAAATTTCTCTTCTTCCCAGCTTTACACCTTGTAGATATTTGTGGGCTGTTAGGATGTTCCCACTTAGTCATCGGTTTTTTGGATTTGACAAATTTAGTTCTTTCAGTCATTTCCTGAAGGAGGATAACAGAAGTTTTGGGTTTTTTTTTTTTTTTTAGTTTTTCTTTTTTAGTTTTTCTTTGAATAGCTCTCGTTTCTTCTAATAGAGTGGTATTTTTTTTTTTTTTTAAGTCATTATCAGTGTATTTCTCTGTGCTATTCCTTTTGAATGGATAGCTCTGGAAAGTGTTCCCTATTTTTAGGTGCCTCTTTTGTCCTCTTGGGAAACATCCTTAATCGTTTGTTGTTTGAGATAAGATTCACTAGGTAGTGCAGGCTGGCCTTGAGCTCACAGTGATCCTCCTGTCTCAGCCTCACAAGTGCTGGGGTTTCAGGCCTGTACCACCACGCCTGGATCTTAATCATTTTTGATGCTACTTGTAATTTCCACTGTTAGGGAGTTGAGTCACTACCAGTTAACTTTTTATGTGGTTATTTCAGAGAAATGAAGTTTTGCACTTCTGGCTGGCCAGTGACAAAAAAAAAGACACATAAAGCCCTTACGATACAAAGTATGACATTTAAAAATGATCTTGGAGCTTTACAGATTGACTAAAGTAAGGATGATTATTCAGACACGAACACTGTAAGCTCATGTGTGTAGCATCGTTGCTCTTAAGGCAGTTGTGGGTAGTGAATTATGCTTCTTGGGTATGTAGATACCCCCCTTCAGGAGCGACCTGGGACAGGGCTTGTGAGCGACTGTGAGGTTCCACCTCTTCATCTCCATCCTTGAGTCCCATGTGTGCCCACCCATTTACAAATGCTGGCTTGAGGGCCTTGTAGCCTCTCCTAAAGGAAACCTCTGCTTATGGCAGAGGTGCCAGGATTTGAGAGAACCCTTGGACAGCTTGTGCCACGGATGGCCACGGCACAGGACTGTTTGTACTGGAGTAGTAGCCTATGTATTTTCAAGTTATTCTTCACATCATGGTTCATGGTTCTAATTTCTTTGAGTCCCATATCACTGTCTTATATACTTAACATGTATTTTCCTATACTCTATAATATACTCAGATTTATCATTTCTTCAGTTTTCGTAAGTCTGGTATATATTTTCTTTAGCATGGGGGTGATGACAGAAAGAACCAAGTATTACTAATAGGAAGAGAGGCTGCAAATGTAGCTTGGTGGAGGAATGCTTGACTGGCATGCTCAGATCCTGTATTTAATCCCCAGCACACAAACACAAATATAAATATCACACACACACACACACATACACACACACACACGTAGATGGGGGGGGGTGGGGATGATTTGTTAGCCAGGTGATGTCTTAATCATCTTGTCCTCAACTAAATGATAAGGATTTCACTGTGTAGAGAGCAGCAGATACAAGATCGTTTCTCTTGGTGGATAAATTGTTAATTCCTTAAAGTTGAACAAAATAAGTGAATTTACTTTTTAATAACAATTTCATAGCACAGTATTCCTGTTTTAAAAGCTTTGTTCATTGTGTAAGTTATATTAAGATGTTTAAAGATGTGCATGCTTCCCCCTCCCCCCCATTCTCTTTTGAGGATAAATAGCTGCGTTGGAGAATCAAACCATCAAGCATTTATACTTGCTCTTCTGATCTTCTTGCTCACTTCGGTGTACGGAATAACACTCACCCTGGATACTATCTGTAGAGATAGAAGTGTCTTCACAGCTCTCTTCTATTGTCCTGGAGTTTATTCAGATTACAGGTGAGTTGTGGATCCCACAATCAGGAAGCCCAGCAAAGTAATCAAGGTGGCTTGTGATAGGGGCTCTAAGTTAGGCAGGCCTTCAGTGCTATGATTATGTGCATTTTTCTAGGGTGATAAGAAAAAATCATTGCCTGATACGAAACGAGGCCTCTGTACTTAACAAGCAGACCCAGGTTCATCAGGGAGAATTGGTGATTTCCAGAGTCAGATGACCACTTGTGTGTGCAAGGTAGCACCGTGGCCCTTTGAGAAGTGCTTACCATCTTTGTAACCTTTCTTTTCTTACCTGTTATGTTTTTTCCTGTTCTACTTTTTTTATAACTATCACACTGATTACTGTGCTATCTAGGTCAAATTTTCTAAGCACTGATCAGTGGGGGCCCATTCATATACTGAGAAGATCTCCAAGCAATTACAAAAGCTGGGGTTCTTTGGGAGATGGCCTGGCTGCCCCCACCTATGACAGCCCCCTGCCCCAGCCCTGTCCATAAGGGCACATAGTCATTGCACAATTGTGTTGGCAATGTCAAGGACACACAGCACTTCCCTACACCAAGGATTCATGTCACCTTTGTATGGTGAGGTTACTGGGTGTAACCGTCTCTGAGGTGTCATTCAGCTTTACAAATGGATTTATTTTGAACTACCTTCATTTAGTATTTGAGTGAATATAATGAAATGGCAGGTGTTACACAGCTGATCCTTCTTACTGTGTCATTTGTAGCCTGATAGGAACTTTCCTGCCCTCTGGGACTCTGGGTTTTGGTAGCTGGTTTGAAATGTTATGGTTTCCTCTAGAACAAAGTAGCTAGAAGGCTGTCTCCTGGAGGAAGTCCCTGTCAGCTTTCTGTTCGTAGCACTGGCCTGGAAAATGAAGGCGCCCAAAACTTTAAAGCTGTTCCTAGGTCTTGCCATGAGCTTTCTTGGGAACTTTTATAGCTATCATCTCAGGGCAACTTTGTGTTCTCCCGAGTTAGGTCCAATTAGGAATTACTCATTTAGCAAATATGTTCAGTGCCATTATATCAAGTGTAGTGCTGGTTGTGTGGAGGATACAAAGTGTAAACACCAGCCCTTGCTGTTCTATAGCATATTATAAAAAGAGGCATCAACAAAAAAATAGCCTGTTGATTCTCATATGTTAGATTTATTGTGGTTATTGGTGTTTTGGGGATAAAGAATCCTCCAGTTTAGAAGATAGAGAAGATATGTAAGTCTTTAGTAATAAGTAGGAAGTGAACTGGTGTGGTGGCACACCCTTGCAGTCCTAGCCCTCTGTGAGGCTGAGGCAGGACAATCACAGGTTGTAGCCCAGTGTGGGCAACCTAGTACTTAGTGAGATCGTGTCTCCAACAATAGGAAAGAACAAGGGATACAGCTTAGTGAAGGCTCTGGGTTTAAAGCTTAGTACTAAACAAGTATAACATCTGTGTGTGGTGACAGCTTTGTGAATGGTGAAGGTGGCAGCAGTCCTGACTGGTCTTCTTCCCCTTCCCAGCTCGGCTCTGTCCTTCACCTGTGTGTGGTACTCTGTGATCATTACTGTGGGGATGGCCTACATCTTCTTGATCCAGCTGATAAACATCAGCTACAATGTGACCGAGAGGGAAGTGCAGCAGGCCCTTCGGCAGAAGACTGGGCGCCGGCTCCTCTGGGGGCTCATCGTGGACACGGGCCAGTACAACAGGGGCTTCCTGCGGAACTGGCACCAGTTCTCCACCCTGGGCGCATGTGCAGTCCCCCACCCTGCCGAGGACATCGTCTGAAGTGCCTTCTGCAGCCTCGCCTCCTTTCCACTTCCGTATCCACACAGAATGTCCATTGTTGTCTCCAGCTTCTTAAAGGCATTCAGGGCCATGCTTAGGTTGGGAGATTAGACTGGACAGAATTAATTTTTCTGACTTCACAACTGAAGGGTTTTTGTACTGAAGCAGTCAAAGTAGAGCCATTTCTTTCCAGTCACCTTATTAATAGATTGAGTCAGGAGAAGTGGAAAAGGATGTGGATTACTAAAGCACAGATGGGTAGGAGCAATGCTTGTTCACTAGTAGGAAGAGTTTTAGATTAGGATTGTTTCTAGGCCCGCTCTGAATTACTAATAGCCATGTGACCCTTAGTTGAGTCACTTTCTGAAGTCTCAGGTTCCTCTGTTATGTGGGGTACTGTTGCCTGCCCTGGCCACCTCAACCAGTGTGAGGGTCACGTGAGGGAGCAGGCATTTGGAAAGCACTACCAAGCAACAGAAGCACCCCAGGTGTAAAGTATTACTGGACTTTAATCCTAACACCCAGAAAAAAATGTTTGTGCGTCCAAATATCGAAGCCAGATTTATCAGGGTCATTAGATTTCAAACATATACTATACTGTGTAGTGCAGCAATGCAGGGTTCTCCTTAAGAATTAGATGCTAACTACTCTTACAGGGTAGGAGACTAGTGACTGAAGCTAGTTGTCTGGCCCTGAAAGGACGGTTGCGGTGGCGAAGATCCTTGTTTTCAGTGTAGTACCTAGTGCTCGTGAGTTTAGGTGATGGGTCTTTCTTTTCTTTCTCTGTGTTCTTCTGGATGTACTGAACTGACTCTGTTAGGCATTCATGCTTTTCCTCTTTCCGTGCTTCACTTTACTTGGTAAGGTGCTGGCGCACTGTGGTGGCGGCTGCAAGAGGAGCAGACACTCCTCTGAGAACACTTCGCCCTCTCCTGGGTAGGGAGGCTGGTTAATATCAAGGGCTTGATTTTTTTGTTCATATAATTCAAATGCTGTCAGTTTATAGCACTAAATTGCAAAAAATCAGTCTTGTGGCATTCACATTATTCTGGCATGAACTTTCCTAGAGGTGGTGATTGACACCTTCCCATTGCACTCGCACATTGCTTCTCATTCACCTTCCTTACATAAAAGCGTCTCACCAGGAGAGACGGAACAGGGAGTGTGTGATTTCCAGATTAATGGATTGGTATTCTTCCCTTGTTTTTTCCCAAAGAACAAATTGTTACTTTAATCATATTTCAAAACTGAAAATATATAAAGGATTACATATTTATATAGAATGGCTTATTCTGCCAAAGAATTAAGATGGAGATTTAGATGGGGGAAAGAAATTACCATCATGAACTGTTTGGTTTTATACATGCACTGCTCTACAATCCCAAAGATAATTGATGAATCCTTCAGTTTTCTGTGGCTTGTCCCTTACTCCAGAGAAAATATTGCAAACGTTTTCTGTCATTCTGTGCTTGCTGCTTTAGTGATGGATTCACGTGTTGGGAGGAGACATTGCTGCTTCCTGCTCCTCTGCTCTCTAGCTCTACAGACATCATCCCTAGTCTCTCCACTAAGTGGGGCTGTGCTTAGCAGAGTTGTCACATTTTTATTCAGGCTTGTCATTGCTCGCCCCAGAGATGAACTGTTCAACAAATGACAGGCTCTGTGCTCTGCTGGGATGGGGCGAGCACGGACCCTGGGGATGGCAGCAGAGGCCGCAGTTTCGGCAGGCATGCCCTCTCCTTGGCCCAGATTCAGATACTCCCTTCAAGTTGGTCCAGATATCGCCAATTTGTCTGTGTAGATTTTTAGATAAGAGAAATGGTAACACTGTCAAAGCATATGTACGCAGAAATAGGTAGTTTCTTGAATGCCAGCTATATAGCCAACTCTGATTTCTAGCAACTGATAATAAAAATTCAGAAACATTAGAGTAGTCAATAATTGCAGCTTGCCAAATCTTTTAGCAGCAATCCACATGTGATGAAGAGAACAGCTGAAGCCACTGGAGAGAATTAGAAAGGTTCACCATCTTTGGAACAACTCCCCCAACCCGTTTGCCTGGGCGGGAGCTCTCTACTTACTATTCTGACCAACCGGAATTATGCTTATTTTAAGTTCCTTGAGAACTCACTATTGGCACCTCACAGAAGAAAGCTTAGATTTGGAAGGTTCTGGGTTTTGAGGACTAAAAGCCTTCTGAAGTGTTTGGGCCAAAACAACCAAAAAAAAAGGGGGGGGGGCTATGTATGCATTTTTGTAGGCTCTGCCAAATGCTTGGTCTAGGTCCCAGCCTTTTAAGCCTTTTTATGATCTAGAGCTTTTTAAGGAATTGTGTGATAGTGCTTGGCTCTCGCCAGAAGGCAGAAGAATTTTCAGTGGAATCTTTGAACAGACAAGGCCTGTGAATCAACTGTCCCCTCTGAGTGAACTGGTGATGGTGGCACTGAGTTTCCCTGCCATCTCTTGGCCATAGATCAAGCCCCTCCCCTCAGTGTGATCCACACAAGCTGGTTCCTTTTTCCTGGGCCACAGCCTCAGCCTGTGTACGGATGCAGTGCATGTGGAGCTTAGGAAGTTACCTGTCTTACATTCTTACCACTCATGTTACCATCATGCCATTATGTGCTGTTCGGGGAGGAAGAATGCGTCCATTTGAAAGATTTGGGGGAGTAGGGGGAGGACAGTTAAAGATCAGGATTGGAAGAAAGAAGAAAAATCTTTTAATATTTAAAAGTCTTGGGATGTCCATAAAAGCCTTCTGGTTCTAGCAGGGTGCTCTTGAAGTGAGCAGACCACTAACAATGCCTTTTTCTCCAGTTACTCTGATTGTTGCTAAATTAGAGCCTTAAGTGTGTTTTCAGGACAATGTGCTGCTTATTTCACTTCCGCCACATGTGTGTTTGTGTTTAGGATATTGCAGATCTTTGTTCTCCAAGTTGTGTTTTCCTTTGGTGAATGAAATGATTGTTGTCTTCCATTGTACCATCTGCCCAGAAGAAAGACTGCTATAAACTTTCTCTTATGCAATAGTCCTTGGTACTTCTAATATTTTTAGCAAAAGAAAATTTCTATATTAGAACCTTTCACTGCCAGAAAACACAGTGCCAGTCCGATTCTATGGAATACTGAGCATCTGCTTCACAGACTTACTTCCTTTGGGTAGGGTGTTAGCTTTTTATTATCAAGTTGAACTAATAGAAACAAAATTAAAACATCTAAAAGCACAGTTTTAACTGGGATGTTTAAAAATTAATGCTTTGTGAGATTTGAAGGTCTCCTTAAGTTGGTTTATATGACTTAACTTCATTTTAGCCATATTTTGGTAAGCTGGATTTTAAAAAGGAGAATTTCTCAAATAAGCAATGGATGATAAAAGACTTTTGCTTGAGGCACCTGTTGGGAATCTAGTTTTCTCAGTAGCAATTTGACAAGTGTGCCATTTTATATCATACAGCAGAGGCAAGACTGGTGCAGATGAAAGCGATGCTAAACTTAAGAATAAACTGTATGTTCCTGTGGATATTTGCTGTGATTAATACAAACTTTCTACAGAATCAGCTAATGTAATCCTGCTGCTAATGCATACTTAACCATACTTCAGCAGGCACTGAGCATTGCTAACGCTGTAGTGTTAGCAGCAGGCCAAAGACTTCGTGGTTAATGGAGACAGATTTCTCACTCTCTTCTTTTTTGGTGTCAGGAATTGAACTCAGGACCTTGTGCTTGCCAGGCAGGCGCTATACCACTGAGCTGTATCTCTGGCCCTGGAGACAGATTTCTTAGAGGCTGCTGTGACTGTTGGCCTCATGATTTATTAGTACTCTAGCCTTCCTGACAGCAACTTTCACCTCTAGAAATTTCTATTTAGAAGTCAAAGCTTTAAAACCAGACCTAGGCACTTCTAATTACTGATGTAACTAAAACTGTGTTCCTTCAGGTGGAGCCACTGACAAGATACCACAGAGCTGGAGAGTGCCCCTTGTGCCCTCAAGCTCGGGGTGATTTGGTGGTTTCAGTTGTCAAGACTTAATTATTAAATATTAAATTCAGTATTTAATGTAACTGCCCTGACAACAGTAGAGTTTTTTCAGAGCTTATCTGGAAGCTGTGGGCTAGACATTTTGCACTGTTTTTATACTTGTATTCATATTCTCTTATCACCTCAGACAGACACAAAGCCTTTTAAGTGGAGATTTTACAAATTACTGCCATTTGTGTAAAATAATGTCCTGTGACCAAGTTATTCAAATGGAAAATAAAGTGCTTTCTTTATGGAAGATGGTTGGTGTTTCTTGGTCTTTGTGTTCTTTCACTTAAGAAAATCCTGCATTATCACTGTCCTGCCTCTGACTGCCTTTTGTCCCCATCCTGTAGACTTGGTGCTGGCCCTGAGATGTTTTTCCTGATGGTTATTTCTTCCCGGTTTTTGGGTCAGGGTACTGCTTATTTGGACGTTGTGTTAGCTCAAAGCCCTTCTTTATGACTGTCCAACAAAAGAGAGCATCAAAATTATTTTCCTTATATCTTTTTAGAATGTGTAGAAGTAGATAAGTGTAGCTGGGCCAATCAGAATGGACTGCCAAAGACCCTTGAAGTGAGACAAAAACAAAGCTTAAGTAAAACTTCAGTTTTATGGGGTTTGTTTGTTAATTAGTTTTGGTACTCACAATTGAACTTGTGACCTCACGCTTGCCAGGGAGGTGTGTGCCACTGAGTTAGATCCCTGGCCTGACAGGGTTTATTTAAGACGGTGACATAATTATTTAAGGAATTCACTTAACCTTATCTGTAGAACTGGCATTAATTCTGGTGCTTGGTTTTTAGGAGCTAATATCAGCCAGTATTCTGTAACTACGCTGAAGTTAAGTATAAACAGTAGTTAAGAAGATGGAAAGAGATTCAGTATGAATTACTTTTACTCCCATTTTCTTTAGTGACCATTAGTCTTAAAAACACTTGAATTCTTAGATCACAGCTATATAATCAAAGGAAAATATATATAGAGAAGATTATTGGAGAAGTAACATTCAATTTGGGTGTTTTATATTTCATTGCATATCTTCTGTGAAAAAAAGGTGTAAGTCATTTGTTGGTAGTGGAAAAAAGGCAGCCTTTTAGGAAATAAGAGGCAGGAACAGTCTTTATTTGAAAAACTGCAGTTTTATTTTGCCAATTGAAATCTCTAACCTAACAAATAGTTACTTCTAGGCTGCCAGGGTCTTTCTTTACTGTTTTCATTTCTGGACTTGAATGTGTTACAATAAACATGCTTTTCATAATGAAAAACATTTTTCCTAGTAGGTTATTCTCCCAAGACAATTCACAGAAGAGCATTTTATCAGTGTTTATAGCACCTTAAATATTAAAACCTTTCAGTTTAAGATAAATATTTCAACATTGAAATCAAACTGGGAGACAAATCAAGTGGATTATTTAGAAGTTGTAACCTACCAAGTATTTTAATGAATGCTGGATTGTCCTTGGTAGAGTTACTAGCTTTTGGGATTTCCTTTACATGCACTATCTTTGGTGCCCCAGTTTGAAATCAGGATAAGCTACCACCCTCCGCAGTGGCTCTAGAGTAGCTTTTGATACATGGTTTGTCATCAGCAGTGGCCTGCAGGGACTGGCTCTGGTAAGGGGCTTGACGCTGAGGCCTCTCAAGCCCCCTACCAGAAACTCAGGCGGGCAATCACTTGTCCTTTTTAAAGTTTACTATGCTAAAAACATACAAGATACGTGTGGGTGGTAGTGCTCTACACTGTTCCTGTGGATGACCACATGTGAAAAGTGAGTGCGACAGTGACCCAAGCAAGGTCAAGGAAGTACAAATGACCCAAATAATCCCTATTGCCCAGCAAGTAGCTCAAAATAAACCACCTACAAACATGTGTGCAGGTAGCAGGGATAATGCATCCCCCAGCCCATCGCGATCCCCACCCCAAGCATTGCACTGGTCTGTGCTCACAAGTGAAGTCCAAGGATCTGTGGCTGTCCTAGCAGTGGTCACAATGGTGCCAGCATCTGGAAGTCTGGAAGAATTTCCGCTACCCTTCTGCGGAGCTGCTCTCGCCTTTCTTCTTTTACTCTTTCCTCCTTCATCAATTTTACAAACTTTGTCCACGTCTGAAATGCAATCCTGAGCATCTTCCTTTAAGAAAGAAGAAGGGAGGGGAAAAAAGTGAAATACTAAGGACAAGTTGATTTTCCAGCTTAAGTAATTAAAAATGTTACTGAAATTCTGTGAATAAAACAAAGGGCCTGGAAAACACACCTGGGTTTTGGAGAGTGAAAAATGCTATGAAGAAACTAATGAGAGGTGACGATAGGGACATTTCCATCAGTGGTCAGTGGAGTCAGGGCCTCCAGTGTCCTTGATAGTTTATGACACTCCTTGGCTGACCTGATCTCAACCTGTACATTGTGCCCCAACCAGGGCAAGTGATATTGGCAAAGGTGTGGTTAGCCACAGCCCTCAGGGCAAAAGGCAGCAGAAAAAGGCATGGAACCGCTGGCATCAAGGACATGTATGTGCAAAGCCTGCTGGGAACCTCACGGCAACGAGTCTGAAATTTCAGTTGAGAAAAAGTACTCTACCATCCAATCATAAAAGCATGGTGCCGGAGGGGCATTTGGAGCCAAGCATTTGTGGTCACAGGGCAGCACAGTGGCCTTGGACAATCTGTCAGAGCCTAGGGCAGGGACCAGCAGGAATATCAGGGGGAGCCCAACAGACTTGCCTAAGGTGGCAGTCAAACTAAATCATACAGAGGGAAGGCACAGTGGGAGAGAGAAGCACCCTGTCTCAGATGAGCAGCTGTAGGCTTCTTAAGGCCAGGATGTTCATGTTGAAGAAATAAAGGCTTTCCAGGAAGAGGGCATGACTCGAGCAAAGCGACAGGAGCAAGAGTAGCACAGCACATGTGAGGATCTACAAGTGGAGTGAGATCCTGAAAAGCACAGAGCAGGTAGAAGTATATTTTCACAACTGGAGGCAGTGGTGGGATTTGCTCTGGAATGCATCTCAGTCCTCATTTTTATAGCTGTTGGTTGTTTCATGTTTCAGATACTGTTGATTTTTGTGGGTAAAAGTCTTGGGAAAAAAAAAAAGGTTCCAAGGAGTGGAACTGCTTCACTGATTTGTGTTTGCCCATTCACCCCACTATTTACAGCTTCCTGAATTTCTCTTTAGAACCCACTCCCAGTCTTTGACGCTGCCTCCACCTCCACCTCTTTCTTACCTGCTGTTCATCATCCTACTATACCCATTTTCCTGACTTCTGCATTCTAGTTCCTACTGCTCTATCCACTGACAGTCTCTGCCCCAGCCCAGCGGGTAGGGCATGTTCACGATGGACTGCATCAAGGCAGGCTAATCGGGCTCATCAGAGCTGGCTGACTTGATAGAGCAGGTGTGTGAGTGCCCTGCAGCAGAAGTGAGCCTTGTCAGTCTGAGGAGAGTAGGGGCCAGTGGGGCAGAACAGGGCGGGCAGGAGCAAACTGAGAAGAGGTGAAGGCACAGAATTCACTGCTCTTAGCCAGCCACTGGCTATAATTTTATTTCTTGATTGTGTGAATTCTTATAGTCTCCTAACTTCACACCCTGTATAGGAACACTGTCTTACTATTACACTTCATAGTTACCAATGATAACTAGGAAAATGGGGTTGATACACTCAAGAGAGTGTTTGGGAGCCAGAAGACCTGGGAGGGCGAGAGGGAGCCCATTTGTTACCTGTACACCCTGCACAATTCACCTGCGTGTCTGCAGCTTGTTTCCCTGCCTGGAAATGAGAATCATGAGTTGGTCCCCATGCCCAGGTTGCACTGTGACCAAATAAGAGGCAGTATGAAAAGCTCAAATGAAGCTCAATCTCTCTGTTCGGGGCTCACAAGCAGAAAGCAAGGGCAGGCAAAAAGGATGTTTAATACTACACTAAACTAAAACAGTATTAGCTGTTCCTTTGAGCCAGGCGCTGTGTCAAGTACATTAGCATGTTGCCCTTCTAGTCTTCACAACAACCCCCTAAGACAAGTTCTGTGGCTATCCTAACTTATCAGAGGGACCTCAAAAGGCTGCGTGCCCAGCTGTGCCCAGGCCTTGCCTCCAAGTCTTAAAGGCAAGTCCTTTAAGACTCTTCATTCAAAGGCAAGTCCTCCGAATATCCTGACTTTCTGCATATTCATTTTAAATTAGACAAAATTATAATCAACTTGTTTATCTGTTCCCAACCCACTGATTTCCAGTGTCTGCAAATGAAACAAGGACAATCACTTTTTACTAGGAGTGGGAATCATAGTGTACCAAGAAAGAAAACAATTATATAGAGCAGAGATGCATGTGTGTGCATGCACGCATACGAAAACCAAGCAATGGAAAAGGACTCTGAAGAGTGAGAACGGGGTGCCTGTACCTGTCGCAATAGCCTTCACGCCTCACAGGCCAGGGGAGCCACCAAAAGTGCTCACCACACTGAGTTCATAAGGAATAACACCAAATCACCAAAAAAGAGACAGGATTATTTGTTTACTCTCAAAGGGAAGTGTATAATGGCATTCAAAATATTTCTGTCCAAAATGATTAAAATTAGAAAACAAAAACTTTATTTATATGGATCACTTTATTTCTCCCAAGACATTGGATTTAATAAGATATAACTATATTTTAAATACTAATACAGTATGCATATATATGTATAATTAAAATTGAATCAAAATTGAATTAATAGTACTGAAGGCTGCATACTTGGGAAAAGCAAAAGCAGCACAGGGAAGGGCTGCTGCCCAAGTCAGGAGAGCAGTCTGCCTGCAGGAAGGGCCCGTGCTCAGGAAGAAGCCCTTCCAGCCCTGAAGTTCCACTGCTTGACTTCAGCCAGGGGTGCATGGCTGCCTACTTTTTAATAATTCATTTAAACTGTATTTGTAGGATGTACTTTATGTGAAATTTCACAATGAATAATCTTTTAAAAAGCTGAACAAAAAATAAAACTATATGATTAATAAAATGACTGCATTCCCTTAGGTTTGTTTCATGAACTTTACACTCCCCTTGCCAGTGCCTGTGAGGGGGTGTGTGACTCCCCCTCCTTCTCATTTTAAGCACAGGGACGCTGGGGTGTTACTGTCTTGCCCCTACCACATCATCAGTGCCAAGCCAGGGCTCCCACTCTGCCTGGTGTCTCCCGGGCCGCACTCACCAAGGCCCTTCCACCTCATCTTTTCAGGTGCAGCCCAGGGGTAGCATCCACTGCAGAGCAATGGTGATGCCAGGGAATCTGTGAGTTCTCGAGGAAGGAGACCTCACCTGTCATGATGGCCCACCGCAACCTCGTGCTTGCTCTGAGAGGCAGTCTTTGCTTCTCTGACCAGGAGAAACCAGGTCCTGAAAATCTTCTTCAGAAGGAAATGCACACAGAGCTCTCTTGCTTCTTCCTCCAGATCAGTAACGTACTGGGAGGAGGACAGCAACAGAAATGAGACAAATACTGTCGGCAGACAGAGTGAATCAACAGTACAAACGAGAACTGAAACATGCAAAACCGAATCAAAGGACATTCATGGCATAAAGAGAAAGGATAACATGGCCACCAGGGAAATGGATGTGATGGATTATAAAAATGACAGAAATGGAGGAGCAAAAAGAGGTGTAAGATTGAGGTGGCATGTTTCTTTTTTCTTTCTTTTTTCTTTGTATTTTAGGGAAGGATGTACAGAGTGTTCAGGGCTTCACTACTAGATCAGACTTGTAGTGATCCACCTGTTTATGGCCTCCCAAAAGCTGGGATTACAGGCGGGCACCTCCACACCCAGTCTCAATTACCATCTCCGTGCGCCCCAGGGGCGGGGCTGCCATGGCAGGCCTTGGGATTGAACCCCTGGCCCCTGCGCCTGCTTGCAGGTGCTTTAATCTGCTGAGCTATTTGGCTAGCCCAAGGTGGCAAGTTTCTAATGAAATCACTAAGCAGTATACTAAGATAACCAGGAAGTGAGTACAAAATTAAAAGTTGATATCATGATATATTACAGTTTATATATACATACAGTTATGTAAAAAAAGGACACATGCCTAAGCTTTTGACATTTTCAAATTGGGTTTAATACTCTATATTGTTGTTGAAAAAAATATAAATGACCACGGGCATTCGGGAGTCCAGTTCATTTTCTTGTGGAAGATTTTAAGAGAGATGCATATGATGTGCTCTCCCTGTGGCCCTACCTGTCGCCAGCTCCGAATGACTTTCCTAAGCAATCGCTGGGAATAACATTTATCAGCCTGAGCCGTCTTCATCACCAAACTTTCCTGACTACACTGGAACCAGCTCAGCAGACATTTCCTCTGCAGAGCCAAAGAATGATGTTTTTCTGCCATCTATGCATAAAAAAAATGAGAAGAAAATATTCTCTAAATTTTAAAGCTTTTAAAACACGTCAAAAAAACAAAAACAAAAACAGGCCAGCTTGCCAAACAATACCTAAATATCACATTTAGGTAGTTATTAGAGAATAGCCTTAAGGTGTATACAGTTCTGTATCCTAAAAATGTTGACCATAGGCCCTGCTATGTCATTATGTAGAGGTTCCAGAGTGAAGCCACAGACGGCCTTTCGGGGGACTCCCTGAAGAACACGGTGACTGGCTGGTTATGGAAATGAAATCAACAACCTCCGAAGCTATCACTTCCATTCCACTGAGTTTTACAGTGGGTACCTGGTGACATTCTTGGTTTCCTGTCCTGGAAGTTGGATAACAGCTGCATAACAGCCCTTTGTTTATTATGTGCTTAACCACTGTCTAACGGAGGAAATGCCAATAATTTCAATTAGTTTTGTAGAATGAACTGTCACCAGCGTTGAAATTAAGATAATATCAATAAACCACAAAACCATTGGAACATGAATAATTTAATGTCTTACCAACTTAAAAGGCTCATAGTCTCAGTCTAGCAAAATATATAATTCTGAGTTCACAGACTTTAAAAAGTGACCATTATATTTTTTGAAGAGAAAAGAGAACAGGAAACTTCTCTGCAGACAATGATGTTTCCCTAGGTCTCATCTAGTCATCCAACATTGTGTAAACAACTGATCCAAGGACACTTCTTAGAAGTCATGCTTACTGGCCAAAATGACCATTGCAAGGGGACTCCATGGAACATACCAGCCTGAAAGCCAAAAGGCAAGATAGCATTTCATCTATTTTGGACTTCTTCATTATTTACCTGATTACCCTGATCTATGAACTAGATAAATTTGTTAGGGAAATTTCAGAAGTCTAAATGGTGGAGTAGTAGTACTCTCTATAGTAGAATTATACACCAGTACGCTCTATAGTGGGATTTCACAGTGCCTCCTTCCTTCTTCAGTGACCTTGAGTTTGGCCCTGTGATTTGCTTTGCTCAATTAAATATGGCTGGACACTGGAGGTTTTTAATGGGTTCATAGAATTTGTATGCCTTTCAGTTGCCAGGTGAGACGCATACCCTAAGTACCTGGTGGTGAGGCGTGGTGAGACAACAGAACCTAATTCACAACTGCCCTACATATATCTGAGAAATAAATACTTGAGCCACGTGTGGTAGTGCATGCCTGCAAACCCAGCACTTAGGAGGCTGAGGCAGGAGGGTTACTGTGAGTTCCGAGCCACCCTGGGCTCCATAGTGAGTTCAAGGCCAGCCTGAACTACACAGTGGGACCCCTGTCTCAACAACAACCAAAAGTAAACAAACAAATAACAGAAAAACGTGATATATTCAAATACTGAAGCTGTACTTGAGTCTGCTGCTATTTAGGATTGGGTTGTTATGCAAATTTATCACAGCAGAAACCTGACTAATCTACCCTGTGAATTTTTCTGCTTTTAAAGCACTGTTAAAATTGAAAAAAGCCTCTATCTGACTTGGTATCTCTAGTTAAAAATTTATTCTAGCTTTTTCCAACCTGTTAAATAATAACACTTTAATTACTTGATTTTAAATTACTTTTTAAAAATTTATTTGGCATAGGATCTCGCTATGCAGTTCAGATTCAGTGATTCTCTTGTCTCAGTCTCCCCAGCACTGGGATTACAGGCATGCACCACCACATCCAGTTTGGGCTAGTATGGTAGGTTCAGGGTTCCAGGCTAGCATGTGGTACTGGGGATCAAACCAGGGTCCTTGCGCTTGCCAGTCAGGCACTTAGACCGCTGAGCTATCTCCCCAGACCTGCCCTATTTATTTATTTTCAAATCATAAAATATATAGTTTAATTACACTTTTAAAAAAAAAAAAAAAAAAAAAAAAGTACTAAGGAAACATGTAACAGTCTTTAGAAGACCAAATCTAAACTCTTCCAAAACAAAAGAAATATACACTTCAAATCACTTATCGTTATGGATTTTAAATCACAAAACTTTCCTCAATGCCTAAATATTCATGCTATTTGGAGAAGACCATTTTCTAATTTTGGGGGTGCTAACAGTGTGGCACTGTACCTGTGTGTTTTGTCTGCTTTGCTGTCTTAATTTCTTCCAAGGCTCCAGACCTTTTTTCCTTAGCAAGATCTTTTTATATTGTTCTTTGGCTGCTGCTTCCAGCTCTTTGTTCCTCTGAATTCTTTTCTGTTTCTCTAATTCTTTCTGAAAAAATAATGAAGTAAAAATGCCATGATTGTGAAACTAATGAATTTCAACTGAACAAAAAGCTAATAAACTTAATTTGAACATATAACCACTACACCATGTACTGATCATAATAGAGTTCTGGAACATTCAAAAAACTAAACAAAACAAAAATAATTTTGCTAAGAGGGTCAAGAGAAGGTTATGAGCCCTACAAGAATCAGGGTTCTACGCATTTTTGGCACATCCTCTGATTTATTTAGTATTGATCACAGAAATCATTTCTCCCCACTAAAAGTAAAATATCTAGTCAGAAGAACAACCATGAGTTTCTCTTCCTTATTATGGAAAACTCAGCAATGCAGTCCCCTTACTTAAATTATGAGACAGATTTATATACAAATAAAAGTTCAAATGTAAAGATACACTATTCAAAGGTTGGGGGAATATTCTTATTGAGTTCTTTTTTATGTGATGAATAGTGAATTCAAAGGGATGTTAAAATTATTCGATCTTCACAAAACAGGCTTCCCTCCACGGAGAAACAGAAAGATTAATGACCCCTGTTGATGCACTAAGGAAAGACACCCCATGTCCCTCTCACAAGAAACCTGCCCCAAAGGGTGTGTCTGAGAAAGATGACAGAAAAATTTACTTTCAATAAAAATAGCCTATAATAAAGGCAGAATAAAAAAAGGGTGAATGGTAGCAAGTGACATATACTAGGCAAAACAGGAGCAAAAGCAAAGATTGTAGACTGTTTTCACAATGGTCCTCTCTATTTATCCTCTTTGGAGTATAAATATAAAATCACTTAAGTCTCTTTTTTTTACTTCCCATAAGAAAAAGGCAGTGGTAAAATCTGGTGGACTTCATAAGCTACTTAACTTGCCTGGGCCTGTGGAAACGGAAAACCATTTAAAAAGGAGGATGTGGGGACATCCATTTCCATTATGAAAAGGAGAATCACTCTAAACTTTCAATGCAAAAATCTCACTTTTACACAAGTTCCTGAAAATGAAATGTCCACATTCTAAAAGCAGTAAGCCAGACAAGCCTTATGATTTTTATTCCAGGCACTCGACATATGAGGTGAACAGAATGGCCAGAAATCAAAACGTTTATAGCAGGTTTTCCCAGGAGCGATAAGAGGAAGCCGAAGGTTAAGTGAGAAAGAAAACAGGAAATGGAGTGGTGGCACATCCTCTGAAAGGTCCGGCAGCAGGTGCACCTTGCAGGCAGAGAGTGAATCCAGGCACAGCCCTTTGGAGGTGCCCTGAGGCTCGCTGTCAGATGACGCACCTGCACACACAGGACAAGGTCCATCCTTGCAGAAGCCTAACTCTGTGCTTGGTGTTCTAGGCAACAAGAGGAAGACCATTTTCAAAGAGATTATGGAGAAAAAAAAAATACTTTTTAAGGTCTGTGTTACCATGGAAAACATAAAAGAAAAACATTTAATAAGAGATCTGCTTAAGTCAAACTTTTATATCTTTATATCTGGTCCTTATCCATTCTCCTCTCAGTCCATTAGAAAGTGCTCCTTTTGCAGAACACCATTGGACAAGGTCACAAATGATCTCCATGTTACAAAATCAAAGAGTATCCTACTTTAAATAGGGCTCAGTAGCATTCTGGCAGATTAATCACCACTGTTCTCCTATCCGACGCTCCTGTTTCTTCCTGCCTCAGGAGCCTCTCATCCTCTAAATAACTACTCACATACTCAAGTGTGTGGCTGGGGACACTCTCTCTACTCACTTTTCCCAGCCACTTCCAGAGCACAGAAAGCACTGACATGTGTGGACTTCCAGACTCCCTATGACAATCTTGACACCCCAGCTTGTATGTCCAGCTTGACATGCTCGTGTGGATATCAAACAGACACATTAACACATGATGGACTTGCATGGGCCTCCTCCACATCCAACAGCTAAAATATCACCTCCTCAAAGTTTTCCCAGTGAACCTTCCCAATTTTGCTTTTCCCATTACTCCTCTCTCCTTACTTTTTTGGTTGTTCATTTGTTTCCTGTTTTCCTACACTAACACAGAAGACTTCTGAGGGCAGAGCTGTTGTGTCCTCTTCTTGGCTTGTTCTAAGGCCTAAACAATGACTAGCACATAGCAGACATTCTACAGATGTTTGCTCAATGAGCAAATATGATTGTTAAGCACAGAAGACATCAAGTCTTGCTGATCTTCCCTGATAAAATTACCTTTCAACCACAAATGTCTATCAAAAGAAAGCATATTTGTAGTCACAAAAGTCACAGTCTGATAAGTTCTATCAGAAAATAAATATGTGATAAAAATAGAGCAATGGGACATGAAAAGGAAGTTAAGATTTTATTTTTAAGAACTCAAGGAGTGAAACCTGATTGGTTCCCTTACTGCCACACCTGATATGGTCTCCCTTAAGGGTCACAGGGATGCTGAGCCACAGTTATGCCTTGCCTTTGTGCCATCTTCTGGAAATAGAGCACAAATCTGTCATAAGCTTATTGCTAAAGAATTCTTCCAGTTCCTTTGTCTCAAAATTGCTATCACAGGACCCTACACACACATAACTCGGCTTATATTTTCTACCAGAGAAATACATGTGATTGCCTCTGACACTTTCTCCATCATACCAATGGTAGAACTGTTCATCTATATAATTATAGAATGTAGTAGTTTTGTTGGCTAATTTGCCTATGAACTCAACAAGCAAAAGAACTGCCCAACTAGATTTCCACCAAACACACCTAGCTACATGCAACTGACTCAGAGAAGTGACAGCAGGCACTGGTTTAGAAGTGCCATTATCTTTGTGATGTCCACAGGAATAACACTGATATGGCCTTAAAGGTGTTTAGCAAGATCAGCATCCACCAGTACAAGAAGTAAGGAACTGCCTGTGCAGAACCCGATGCCTCAGAAGGAACACAATCACATGGTAAACTGGGCAAAGAAGCACACTGTGTAGAGCACCTCTGCAGAGAAGGAAAAGAAGGCAACTGCCATGTGCATTGTAGATCTAGAGCTCCTCTCAAAGAAGGTCATTAGCAAGCCAGCTTATAAATGCATTGATCTCAATTAGATAGAATAACTAACTAAACAGAAACCAGTTTATGTACCAAATTTTTTTCTCTATTGCTATGGACTGAAGTTCCTGAAAAGGAAAGGTTTGGCCTTGGTATACCAAAAAACGTAAAACAATCTCTTTGACCAGGAATGTATTTTTCATCATTCTTGGTCAAAGAGTTGTTGAGCATAGGAAATTTGACTCAGATAACGAAAGAGCTGGGCAGAGAGCAAATTCATGTCCTTCTGATGGACTGGTAAGAGAAATGAAGCCATTTCCAAATCTGAAGAGACAGGCACATTCGGGGAGACATGGAACCGCATACATGAGGCAGAAGCCAACAGAAACTGTGAGAGCCAGTAAGACATTCAAACTAGAAATTTTGGTGAATTACTGGAAGCTTAGGGTATAGTGGGTGAGAAAAATGAAGCTCTTGGAGGCCACAGTTAGGAGGTGACTCCCACACTTCTGGAGGCTTTTCCTCTAGGAACAGCACTAGTGTTTCAGGGAGAGGGTTGGGGAGAAGAATCTGGAGACAGCTTGGGCCTCTGTGCTGGCTACAAAAGAAGAACAGCAGCAACTGTAAAATGTGTGCAGACTACACTCCTTAGGATGCAGGAGGCTCCGTCTACACAGTATGTCTGGGAGCATGGGGCAACAGCACTGCACGGGCACTGGCACTCAAGGAACTTGGCCCAAACAAGACTGCCCTTTATCACCTGAAGAGCAGGGAAGGGCTTTACAGTTATAGAGTGAGGTAGTAGTGGACAACTACTGCCCCTAAAAGAAGAGGCTACAGAAAAAAGTACTGCCACTAGAGGAGGAACAGAAATTCTTGTGAGTGGCCTAAGCCATGCATGATGAAGACAAAAACTTAATTCAAAGTGAGACAGCCCTCCCTTACCCATCCACTGCCACCACACTTACACAAATCTCTAGCAATAGCAGTGGATTACATCTAGGAAAACCATAAGGGGGAGGGGTCTCTTCAGGAAGCAGCACAATGGGAAGATACCTCCCTCAGGGGAAAAAAAAAAAAAAAAAAAAAAAAAAAAAAAAACAAAAAGAAAAAGAGATGATTAAAAAAAGTCAGTAGAGGAAATTGAAGTCTTTGGTGTCCATAGCAACAACAAACCTTAACTGTGGTTACCACGGTAACAATAAACTTTAAACATAGCATAATTCCTGGCTAGATTAACACAAATCTCCACACCAAAGGCCTCTTTACCTCAATTTCTATTGTCCTAATAAAAATATCTGGCTTTCAAAAAAAATTACATGACACACCAAAAGACAAAAAATAAACGTAGTTTGAAAATGGAAGGCAATCATCAAAATCAGGTACAGACATGGCAGACATAATGGAACTATCAGGAAGAGAATTTGAAATAACTATGACAATAATGTTAGGTGCTCTAATGGAAAGAGGAGGTATCATTCTATATCATATAAGTAATTTTAGCACAGCATGAAGACTATAACATTTAAAATTACAATGCTAGAAATGGGATTTCAATGGGCTTATCATTAGATAAAACAACTGAAGAATCCAGTAACATGGAAATAGGAAAATGAAAATTACACAA